CTGAGTATCTCAGTTTTAGGACTTCTTTGGTTTCTTAAAAGTTTCTAGTCCCTACAGTCTTACACTGCTTCTGAACTCTTTGCAAAGCCTGTGATGAAACGGAGAGACTGGCCTTAGGCCTCTCCCAAGGTCTCTGTGCATCCAAGAGGATTTGGGGGGATGGACACAGCCGGTGGCAACCAAAAAGAATGCCTGACTAGCTACTAAGCTCAGTCCAAAAACGTGTGGCCCAAAGGCCCTTGCTCTGTTGCGTGCAGTCACTCGGAAGGTTACGACTGTCAGTGTCTAATTATCTGCAAGCAGTGACGTCATCTGCGGGTAACAAGCTGTGCAAAGCTGTTAGCTGATTAATTACAGTGTCGTCGTGAAGTCAGTGTATTTCAGTGCACCATCGCGTGGTTTTAAATTAATTTTTAGAAAGCATTTATGTTTACCATCTGGTTTTGCTCATATGTATATGGTTTTGGCCCAGGATAACTCAGCTTTATGCCAATCGGAGCATATTTCCCAGAGGTTTGTCATTTGTGTTCTCTTTTTCTAGAATCCCAATTCCGGCAATATTGTACCGGAGGAAAACAGTGTTCCCGACCCCCCCCTTCCTCTTCTGACAAGTGTTTCATTTGCCTTCATTCCAGTTCCCATCTGGTAACAGTCATAAGCATTTTTCCCTGCTGTTGTTTGCTTCTCCTATCTCGCAGTTCAATCGCATTTCTACATTGATTAGTTATGATTTTGATAAAAAAAATACACTCTGGGAAAGAAACCAAGCTGCTGACAAAACCAGAAAAAAGAAACCAAGGCCGGCTGTGTAATCACATTTTGACTGAATGGAAAGTTGAGTTTCTGTATATTCCAGCCCCGCTGATTTCCTCTGGTACGAGTCGTCTGCTGTGGGTTAATGGCTTATTGGATAAACGCTCATTTTCCTTGTTTTTTACATGAACTTGAGAACAACCTTGCACAAACAGAGGCTCTAATAATACTCACTGAGCCAGCCTCCCATGTAAGCCCTTTTAAAATGCAACTTTTCCTGTAGCCCCACCTCCCCGGCACAAAAAAAGGCATATTCCTGTCTTCTCTGGGGATATCAGGAATTGCCGTATCTATAGCCAGATTACTGGGAAAGGTGAATTTGTGCCCTGATAAAATTAGTGAATGTATTCTACTTCAGGCACAATCTGCAATGCTCTGGGAACGGAACTATTTCTGTGACCCAAGATGCTATAGATAGGGTTGCCCAACCTCCAGGTGCTGGCTGGAGATCTCCTGCTATTACGACTGATCTCCAAGAGACACCGATCAGTCCACCTGGAGAAAACAGCCACTTTGGAAAGTGGGCTCTATGGCCTTATACCTCACAGAAGAAGAGAAGAAGAGACTGGATGTATACCCTGCCCTTCACTTGGAGACTCAGAGTGGCTTACAATCTCCTTTCCCTTCCCCTCCCCACAACTGACACGCCATGAGATAGGTGGGGCTGAGAGAGCTCTTCTGAGAACTGCTTGTGAGAGAACAGCTCTGAGAGAACTTGTAACTGACCCAGGGTCACACCAGCAGCTGCATGTGGAGGAGTGGGGAATCAAACCCGGTTCTCCCAGATTAGAGTCTGCGCTCCTAAGCACCACACCACAGCTGGCTCATCACAGAAGTCCCTCCCCTCCCCAAATCCCACCCTCCTCAGCCTCCACCCCCAAAATGTCCAGGTATTCCCCAACCCAGGGCTGGCAAGCCTAACTATAGATGAGCCCTTATTCGTCCCGAAAAACACACATGATATAGTCACAGTCCAATGTTACCAGAATGGAAGCAGCCACTTCTGGAGGCACTTTTGAAAAATCAACAAGTTTCTATGAAAATCGCATCTTTTTATTTAATTTTTAAAGATTCCAGTTAGGGTTGCCAAGTGTGAATTACCTTTTAGCGGGGGAGTCCCAGGCCCTTTCCAGGAGATATTCGGCACATGCGCCGTCATTGCGTTGGGCACGTTGGGGGCAGGACCAGTATCATTTGAGTTTTCCCTCGAATGACAGAGCATCCCCCCAATGTGCCTGATTGTGTCGGCATTTTGGGGGTGGGCTTCCCCCCGGCGGCCCGATCCAGGCCAGCGGGGAACTGACCCAATTAGCGGGGGTTTCCCCACCCCCCCGGGGGGCCTGGCAACCTTAATTCCAGCCCTTGGACTTGATGCAGAATTTTCAAGACAATTTAGAACCTATCAGTTGCTGGAATGCTTCCCTTTCTCCATTTGACTACACAAGTGATCTTAGGGCCAAACTACGCAGAACTCTTTTTTTAACAAGTCAGGTCTGGTTTAATGAGCTGGGTTCAGAACACTGCACATGCAACTCCGAAATGGGGCAAACAACTCCCACCTGTGTGGGAGGCTGTTTTTTTGGCCTAGGGATGACAGACCTCGCAGTGGCACCGGGGGAGGGGGCTTGCTCCCAGGCCCCACCTCTCTGCCACCAATCAGCGGGCTGGGGGGGGGACTTGCTGCAAAGAGAAGGGAGGAACACCCAACGTTTTAGCGACGTGCCTATGTGACTTCAACATGACCTGGAAATGATGTAGGCAAGTCGTGGTGACGCTCTATTTTGGGGCAAAAACTCTCGGGTAGAAGGTAATTCTACCAGAGAGTTTTTGCCCCAAACCCCCAGAGCGTCACCCTGATTTGCCTACATCACTTCTGGGTCACAATGGAAGTCACATGGGCACATCACTCCCCATCCCTTGCCAGCTGCCAAGAGGGACCTGGCAACCCCAAATGGCACAGAGGGAAAGGAAGGAGACCCGACTCTTGTGCCACAGTCCCAAGACAAACTGGGTGCCTGCATGCTTGAAACGACCTCCCCCACCGCTGCTGTGGGGCTGTGCAGAAAGCGAGTCGAAACTCAGACCCAAGTCATTCAGAAACATCTTATGTATCGCGGCCCTTCAAGGCAGAAGCTTGGATCCCAGACTTCCGTCCTGTTGGCAGAAGGCTCTTCTGCTCACGGGAGAGGTGGAGGCCTGTTTTCACTGACTCCTCCCTCGTCTTGCTGCTTCCCACCTTGACCCCCACGATAAAGGCAATTTCAGGGGGCACAGAAGATGGCAGTGGGAGAAGGAGAGGCAGCCAAGTTGCCCTTTCTCTAATGGGGCTCTGCTCACGCCACAAAAGATCCAAGCCTAAAAGCTGCCTATTGGTTTTGCGGGAAGGCTCATACGTATGGCCGAGGTCCCGGTTTCCCCGGAGTCCAAATAGGCTAGCAACATTAACCAGCTTCCTTCATCTATACCTTTTCTTCTTCTTTCTCTGTTAACACACACAAAATAATCTCAGGTGTGTTATCGTGTCAGTCTGGCGATGGAAAGAGCTGTCAAGCAGACCTAGGGTGTCCTCATAGGTTTTTCAAGGCAAGGGAGGAACAGAGGTGGCTTTGCCATTGCCTGCCTCTCTGTAACTTCCTTGATGGTCGCCCATCCAAGTACTAACCGGGGCCAGTTCTGCTTAGCTTCCAAGATCCTGCGAGATTGGGCTCGCTTGAGCCAACCAGCTCAGGGCAGACAAGCAGAGGTGGCTTGCCATCGCCTACCTCTCCATAGCACCCCTGGACTTCACTGGCTTCCAAAATCTGATGAGGCTAGCCTGGGCCATCCATCCCTGTTAAGTCACGAACTTAACAAAGAGTTGGAGAGTGATTCAGCAAGAATGCAGCTTTTATTCTTCAACTCGAACTCACTTTCAACACAGATCAACATTAGTCAGCCAGAACAGCTTTAACATAGCAGCTGCTCTGTATTTAAACATTCCTGGCTAATATAGCCACGCCTACTGTACATTTCACAACCAATGAGGTTGAACCTATAAAGGCCAATCACGAACGTTCCTGCTCAGGGAGCTTCTTCACGGTGATTGGATATTGCTTCCTGGGCTAGTGTTCCTATAGGTTACATTAGGATCCTAGCCCAGGACAAAGCTTAACATGAGATGGCAATGGAATGATTCACGTTACATTCAGTACATGTATTCAAGTCAATTGGAATACACTACAATCCCTATCAACCCAAATAATATGCCAGGGAACCTCCACAGCCAGCTGATTTGTTAGAAGTGTGACTGTGTTTTAACGTTTATTATTTTCAAATTGTTTAATTGTTTTAAAAATGTAACTTTATTTATTGTATGTTTTATGATATCACCCGCCCTGAGCCCGCTCGCGGAACGGGCAGGCTATAGATACAAATGATAAATAAATAAATAAATAAAGACCGATGGTTGGTGTCAGTCGCCAGAAGGATAACTACAAGAAGATCGAGGAAACAACTATAAGAAGAGTGGATTTTGACATCGCAGCCATCGGGAATTGTTGTTATTACCACTTTTTTGAGTTGTATACTTAAATGGTGTTAGAATTGTTTTCATTCAAATCAGTCACGTTTTAATGTAAATTATGTACTGATTTTATGTAAGCCGCCCTGAGCCGGCTTTGGCTGGGAGGGCGGGGTAAAAATCCAATAAATAAATAAATAAACGTCTTGCACGTGATGTGATATGAAATCCCACCTCTATACTCAGACAACTAGATCTTCAGGAAGAAATCTTGATTCTCTCCACTGCACTAGTTTTCTAAGTGCAGGGAGTAATTTCAATTTGCAGTCAAAAACACAATTTGTATTTATATTGGTTGCACTGTTGCAGTATTTCTGTATGTAATACGATTTCCATACTGCTACCCCTCTGTGTCTGTTAACTTCTCTACTCTGACAGCAGCGCTCCAGAGTCACAGGTCAAAGTCGCATCACCTGCTGCTACCTGACCTTTTAAACTGGAGATGCCAGGGACTAAACTTGGGATCTTCTGCATGCAAAGCAGGGTGCTCTACCACTGAGGCACAGTTCTTACAATCTGAGGCTCAGCACTCAGGACTATTAACTGGCAGTAGACTCGATCAGGCGAGTGTAGATGAAAGTTCATCTGTACAAAACAGCAACTCCTTAAATACAAGCTGGGATCTTACCATGGCATTCTGCAGGGGGCGCTGGTATCCTGTTGGCCGATAATGGAGCCTCTCTGACCACTCTGTGTGGATGTCCCCCAGGTACAGCTCCTCCACGTCCCTGCTGCCCTGGTTTTTCTGGAGCAGCAAGGGCTGCTCGTACTTCTCCACCCGTACCAGGCTCAGTTCGTGCATGGCAAATCCCAGACCGGCTGTGCAATCCCGCTCTGCTTTGGCACTCAGAAGCTCATAGAGGGCACCTGGTGTCCATGTCCGCCCAGGTGACAAGAATCCACTGCACTGCTCTCCCGACGTCTGGTTGATACGGGCAACCGTTTCCTGCATGGCCCGTTGGCTGTGGAAGACGATGCCAACTTTGTGAAGGTGGTAGTCGGCTTCCGTAGCACCACGGGTGATCCAGGAGGCCTGGCGGAGCCGGATTTTGCCTTTGATGACTAGGGAGTAGGTGGGGTCCCGGCATGAAGGGTCTCGATAGTAGAACTGATAGGCTTTGAAGAGGCGGTTGGCATAGAATATATAGGAACGGGTGAGGAATTCTGGTCCTGGCCGAACCTCACACCTGGAGACAGGGAGGGAAGTTTTCGTTACAACTAGAAACTTGTAATTTCAACATGGTTTCAACCATGCTGACAGTGTATTGGTAGACATTCAAGCTGAACAGAACAACTGCATTTTCATAACAAACCTCTTCGCTGTTGGAAAACAATACCTGGAAGTGACAGATTCAAAGGGAATGCTTAAAAAAAGTTCAGCAGATTGCCAAATGGGGGGGAAATTGTGGCTTTCATCCACAATCACAATGGGCGGCCATGATCAGGAATCAGGTTATACAAATAAACTGTTGAAATATGAAGCTTACTAGAATGAACTAAATCATCCCGTGTCTTTTGTTTTGCAAAAAAAACACACCCCAATGTAGACATAAATTGGGAGGGGTGACCTTGGGATTCCCCAGTGTAATTTATGTGTTTCCCATCTGCTATAAATAAATGTTTCCACAGCACCTCGAATTCTGAGCTAAAGGAACTCTTTTTCTTGCAAAAAAGAAAATCCAGATTCCATGACTGAATAAATGAAGAGAAGCAATCTGTGTACCCCTTTAACCTTAATTTGGTACAATAAAATTAGTTTAACTATTTGAATTAGTTCTATTACCATTAAAGCGAGGGCCAGTGTGAAACACCCAACTAGAGTGCTGGGTTTAGAGGGACATAGGTCCTTTCCGCACTTGGATCTCATCCCTGGCTTTATCAGAGTTCAACTTGGGACACAATACCTTGCGTTTATCCCTGGTTATAACAGCAACTGTTTATCCCGGGATAAGTTTGGGGTGAAACTGGGGTGACCTCAATGTAATGTGGAAACAAATATGGAATCAGTGCAGGAAGCATGCACAGAAGTTGTTCAGAGGATCGTCTGGTAGAACTTTTGCCTATGTGTCTCGGATCATTCTATCTGGGATTTAGGGCTCAGGGCCACGTTGAAAAGCAGAGATGCAAACTGGCAGATTTCCCCCAGCAGTGGAAGATTCTAGTCTTGAAAGACAGCAAATGCAAGAAGCATCAAAAGATAGAAATGTTTCCCAACCATTGCGGGGCACAGCCAACAGTGACGCCATCTGATGACAACCATTGCGGGGCACAGCCAACAGTGACGATCCGCCTGTGCGCCGTCTGATGAGTTTACACCATCCTTTCCAGTGCTATAAGCCCCTTACCCTGTTGAAATCCAGTGACCTTCCAAGCGGGGAGGCAAAAGAGCTGAAATTCTGGCACCGTCCTGTAGGTGGCGCAGCTGATACTGGCACTGGGGCTCCCACTGTAGCTTTCCTGGGCTGGCCGGCTCCTCCTGAGGTACGGGGACATCCCATAGCTTCTTTCCAGATGTGTAAGCTGGAGAGAGAAACCAGATGTTTTCAAGGCACGGACACAGATGCTCTGGAGCACAGCATCTCAGTCACCAACCACACCTATTTTGTTCTAGCATTTACAAACTGGCAGCCTCCATCTTCCATTTATTCGCCTTTATTTTGCCAAGCACTGTGCAGTCTCCATCGTGTTTCCCTTCACTGCAGCCTTGTGAGGTATGCCACTGTTGTGCCCATTCTACAGATAAATGCCAGAGAGGAAAGAAATTATGTCTGTTTATAATTATGGATCCTTTCTTCTCACACCCGCATAGAAGGCACTAACCCAACATGGGCAAGCTTTTATAAATGGTTTGAAGAATACTACAAATGAACAACTTAGACTTAAAAATTTATTTGGAGACATTTTAGATTAAATCTTCAATACTATGCAGAACATCTACAGAAAAATATATGATGATAAAAACTGATTATTCCAAAGCTGTACAATGTAGTAGGTAATGTAATAGATATAATACGAAGATACTTGTAACCTCGCAACTTATAGGTCTTTTGTGTGTGTGTGTGTGTTAATGGTTTTTTGGTATGTGTCTGTGGTTATTTTATATTGAAAAAAATTTTTTTAAAAGAAGGCACTAACCCAGCCTGTTATAATACCGCATTTGAATGGCTCACCAAAATGCTCTAAATTAAATTCGCCGGCCTCCATTTCCTACAACTACGTTCTATTCACAGGCTGCAATTTTCCAGTGCTCAGCAAGGAACATCCGACCAAGGTTTTTCCCCTTTTGTTTTTCTCATGCAAGCTTAGTTCCAGTTCGAGCATGAAAATCACAGATGTAAGCACACACATGAAGCTGCCTTCTACTGAACCAGACGCTTGGTCCATCAAGGTCAGCACTGTCTACTCAGATGGGCAGTGGCTCTCCAGGGTCTCAGGCTGAGACCTTTCCCATCACTTACTGACTGGTCCTTTTCACTAGCGAGTCCAGGGACTGAGACACAGCCCTTGTTGACTTCCCCCTTTGCTTAACACAAGATCATCTCAGACCGGGCAACTAGGAAACAGTTATGCCCAGATTTTCAAATGGCCCTGGAAGATTTCCAAAATGGCCCCAACCTGGTGGAATCGCTTTGGAAAAAGTGCAGAAAAGGGCAACTCGAATGATAAAAGGGTTGGAACACTTTCCCTATGAGGAAAGGTTAAGGCGCTTAGGGCTCTTTAGCTTGGAGAAATGACGACTGAGGGGTGACATGATCGAGGTTTATAAGATTATGCATGGGAAAGAACAGGTAGAGAAAGAGGTACTTTTCTCCCTTTCTCACAATACAAGAACTCCTGGGCACTCCATGGAATTGCTGAGCCGTCGGGTTAGAACGGATAAAAGGAAGTCCTTCTTCACCCAAAGAGTGATTAACACTTGGAATTCACTGCAACAGGAAGTGGTGGCGGCTACAAGCATGGACGGCTTCAAAAGGGAATTAGATAGGCATATGGAGCAGAGGTCCATCAGTGGCTATTAGCCACAAGGTATAGATAGGGGCAAGTGATGCTCTGTCATCTTGGTGCTTGGGGGGGTCAACAGTGGGAGGGCTTCTAATGTCCTGGCCCCACTGGTGGACCTCCTGAGGGCACCTGGTATTTCTGGCCACTGTGTGACACAGAGTGTTGGACTGGATGGGCCTTTGGCCTGATCCAACATTGGCATCACTTATGTTATGTTCTTATGTTCTAACTCTCTGCCAATTACTACCAGGGCCCTGCGGGATCTTATGCAATCCCGCAGGGCCGGTAAGGCAGAGATGTTCTCCCAGACCTTTGGTTGAGAACAGCAATGGTTTCCATCACAGCTGGCACCCTTTCTGCTCCAGCTGCTTTTCATATCTGTTTTACCTTCCACAGCAGCCAACCAGAGGTCTTAGGAAGCTCACAACTATTATCCCCAGTGGCTTATCCCCAGCATCTGGCTTTCAGATACTCTGCTTTTGAACATGGAGGTTCCAGTTAGTTAACAGCTAATCTTCTACAGGTCTGTCAAATCCTCAGGACCAGGGGGACCCCCAAATCCCTGAGGATGCATTGTTCTAACCAATGCTTCCATTAAGCTGTGAAGTCTTGTGAGCAAAAATTCTACTTTGTGAGCTCCTGGCATTAAAGTTGTGAGCGAGCAATTCGGCTACTGCATAAATTAGTTTGCTCTGGAGCCTTCCTTCCTGAGCTAAGATAAAAATGTGTGAGCTGGAGGCTACAAAAAACTGTGAGCTAGCTCACACTAACTCAGCTTAGAGGGAACACTGGTTCTAACCCTCTTGGGCTTACTGAAGTTGAGATGAGCTTATGACAACTTGAGGCATGCAGAACTCTTCTCCAGGCAGAACGGTTTTGTGTGCAAACTGCCAGCGGTCCAAGAAAGTAACCCAATCGAATGCAGTCGCTCCCATCTCTAGCCGAGATACATTTCAAAATTATCCTCCTCTCTCTCCACAATTTGCCGTTGAGGGGGCAACAGCTAAACTAGGAACACTCCAACGATGGAACATTAAGACTTTCCGGCTACCCTTTTACAAGGACAGTAATTTTGTCACTTACCTCATTTCCCGTAGCTGCGGATGTTACTGGCTCAGGCCCTGGGAGAACACTCAGCCAAACCAAGTCTTTTGCCTGGTTTTCATATCCCTCGTTTAAAAACCACTGATGTGAAGTCGATGGGCTTTTACCAGTGGAAGAGGTACTGCGCTGGTTGCTCTGACACTGTTGCCCAATTGTCTTCCCCTCCAGTGTTCCCTCTAAGCTGAGTTAGTGTGAGCTAGCTCACAGTTTTTTACCCTCCGGCTCACGCATTTTTGTCTCCGCTCAGGAAGGATGGCTCCAGAGAAAACTAATTTATGCAGTAGCCGAATCGCTCGCTCACAGCTTGAATGCCAGCAGCTCACAAAGTAGAATTTTTGCTCACAAGACTCCACAGCTTAGAGGGAGCATTGGTCCCCTCCCTCCCAAATGTTTTGCAGACATCCAGCTTAGGTTTGCAGCCATTAAAGGTAAGCGTCAGCCGCCCAACATGCACACTCCCGGCTTCCCTTTCATTTCAAAAATCCACAAATTAGAATCAACAAGAAAGGGGACTCACGATACTCGCGGG